GATACGTTGCATTGTGATTGCTCAATATATACTTCAATTAAGATGCATTAGGAATGAACTGTGATGAAAGGGATTTGACACTTGAATAATTAGAGCATTGGATGTAGGTAAGGGGTCAAAATTGATTAGCTGAACATGGTTTGGTCACCAAAATATTCTATAAACACCAAAAAATATAAATTTTCATATTTTCAACATCATATCGAACATAAACATTGACTGTTGATACAATTTATTATTAATTTTACATAAAAATTGTCTCATTTTTGCTGTGTTTACACGAAGCTCACAAAAAAAAGCGACGCGAACAAAAAAAAAAGCGACAAAGAACGTTAAATAATAATAAATTATGGTAATTGCCAATTTCAATGAATTTTTATGATTTTTCTCTTATTTTTTTGTGCTTTGTTTGAAGCCATTAAAAGCTTCCTTATTGCTTCGATGGAAATTTATGGCTGTGAATTTTTGATGGATGTTGGAAGTGGGTTGTTAGTGATTGGTCATTTTGACTAAAAGCTTTATTGCACAAATTTGGCAACGCTTTAAACCCACGATTTAGATTTTAGCAATGCTTTAAAGCGAGGATTTAAATTAAAAACAATGTTTTGAAGCGCTGACTTAAATTTAAAGCAATGCTTTAAAACTGCGACTTAGATTTTATGATGTGCTTTAAAGCGAAGATTCAGATATGAAGCAACGCCTTACAAAAGAAGCGACGACTTACGATCGAAGCGGCGACTTACATTTAAAGCAATGCCATAAAACTACGACTTAGATTGGATGTATTGCTTTAAAGCGAAGATTCAGATATGAAGCGAAGATTCGAATTAAAGCGACGACTTACAATTGAAGCGACGACTTACAATTAAAGCGATGACTTACAATTAAAGCGACGACTTCCAATTGAAGCGACGACTTATGTTTAAAGCAACGACTTAATGCTCCTTTACAATTTAATCAGCTTCAAAATCTTCAACTTACTTCTTGCTAAATGTTTATTTCTTAGTGAAAAATTCACAGAACCCAGACAACGAACAAAATTGTTGACAATGTGAAAATAATTTTCAATATTTATTGAAGCTTAGTATCCTTCGAGGCCGAAAGTCCATTTCAATGTCGAAAAAAATGTAGAATCCAATTTTGTCGTTAAGGTGTCCCTATAGTGACCGTCTTTTGTCGTCAAAGCTTATTAATTGGAGCTTATTGTCATTTTTTTTTATTTCTGGTAACAACTTTTTTTATTCTAATGTGTCTGGGAAAGGTTGTTCGACCCTAAATTGTCTACTTTTATGTAATTTTTGCAAGAAATTCTCACATTTTACAATTTTAACACATCAAAGATTCATACCTTTAAATCCACAGCACCCTTGCAACCTCATAACTTTCATTTCCATATCTAACTCTATGCAAACACCAAAAATCATATTTCTGGCAGTAAAACATTGTATATTGTAAAAAATGTGCTATAGCATTAACAAAACAATCAATAAATTAGCTTTTTTATGACGGAAACGTGATATCGCATTCGCAATGTCGCAGCTTTTCGGTTTAGGTGTGATTTTTGGATGCTGTGAGCACTTTGGGAGTTGGGGTAGAGATGAAGCAAGAAGAATGAGGATTTTCAGCTGAAATTTTATGTTTCATGCAACGTGCGCTATTTTTGAGGAAGACTTTAAACTGGTTCCCTGAATATGATGCACAATATTTTTTTATTTTCATGCTGGTTGATTGAATATCGAATCGAACTAGCTTGTAAACTATGATTAAGCCTACTAGTATGCCTCATAACCTCACAATTCAGCGCTAACTTCAATTTTTCATCACTTACACTTCAAACTTTTCCACAAAATTTTTTTTCATCTCCTAAGGCAATATTTACCATTCTCATATTGTCGCGTGTTGATTTGTGAGTTTATTCTCCCTTGTATACAGTACAACAAACATGATAAATATAATAATAAAAATAATAAAAATATTAGTAATGTATTTTTGAATGTGATACGGAAGCGAGAATCAGCAGACGACTGCTGTACCTTAAAAGAAGTGCGAATAAATGTGAAAAGAAAAAAAGATTTCTTTGTTGCCATAAATTTTTTTTGTCGTGAATAAAATTAATGAAATTGAATTTTTTATCCCTCCTTACCGGTGATGAATGTGAACTCGTAGAGAATGAAAAGCTCATTTAGAAAATCAAATTTTCAATGTAAGATTGAGCCTCAATGTGTATGTCTCGCTACTCGTGCATGACGATGACAATTGATGTGAAATCAATCAAACTGTATAAGGTATTTAATGAATCATTGAGGTGCTTGGCAGACGACGAAGATGGGAAGCAGTGATTGAAAAGATACCAAATTGTCAATTTATTAGGAATGTACATAAATTTATTGGAATAAATTGTTATTTATGTTCGAGGGGGATTGACTTGGGTGTAGTGGGCAGCCACCCATAATGTCTATTTGCTTTTGTTGTGTCAAAAATATCATAAAAAACTGAAAAACTCAAAACATGCGTCATATTTAGAAAACTAGTTTAAAGTGTCCTACTAAATATGACGCATGCTTAACTTCAAAACTACTTTTTATCATACTGTTGTCAAGCATATTGATGATTAGTCATTCAGCCAGACAGCCAAACAAACAGATGGACAGACAGACAATAGAAAGGATCCCTTCAAAAATAACCATATCCCTTCAAATACTCACTTAATTCAATCCACAAGTCCTTTTTCATCATCAAATTACATTAAAAATCCCCTAAATTATTACATTAATGAATTCCCTTTAAGCTGACACGAAATTTAAACATCAAATATGAAGCACAAAATTGTGACACTTCATAAAAAATTAAATTATGAGTCCAAAGAGACATTGCAGCATCGTCATGGTCGTCTGTGCGTCTTTCACATAAATTTTTTTTTTCAAGAGGGAATGAAAAATTATAGCGAGCATCTTTGTGCTATTACAATTTTCATGAGGGAACGAGCGGACGGATGGAAAAATGTCAGAGTCAATTTTTTTTCGTGTCACTTCCCTCCGTTCCGGTGTGGTCAATTAATGATGGAAAATTGGCTTGGACGAGGAAAATCTAATTGAAATTGTGAGGGAAAGATAATTTTTTCTCGAGAGTGAAGGTTGGATGGATGGATGTAAAGGAACTGAGATGAGTGGAAATGATAATTATATTTTTGGAGTGCTGTGGGATGTTAGAATGAGTTTGGATGTGGAATTGATCCACAAGACTTTTTCTACCTGTCTATTCGTTTAGAAGACTGTGAGACTTTGTGGATGTCAATTAAACTGGTCATATATTTTATGCTGTGCATCATATTCTGGGAAACAGTTTACTGTCTTCCCAAAATATGTAGCACATCTCAAAAAATCCCTATTTAAGCTTTTTAAAGCTGAAAGACATCAGAAATTATTCTATAAATATCTCAAATCTATAAATAAAGCCTTAGTTTTCAATATTTTACCTAATTTGCTTCCATTGTTCTATTTTCGTGTCTCATTCACTTAATTCTCTTATTGTAGCATACAAAACGATTCTCAGAAGCCATAAGAAAACTAATTATTTTATTCATTTGTTAGCTTTTGCGACATCAGTGGGCTGAAAAGGTAAACAAAAACTCAAAAGTAATCCCACGAACATCACCAAGCTCGTCTCAATATTATTCCTTAGAAACTGTGTCTATATTTTCGATGTTTATCAACTTATCGCATCTAATTAACTTATAATTAACTCCAAATGACAGCGACAAATAATATCGTCTTAATCTTCATCACAGCCCGCCTTCGAATTTGTCCAAAAAAAGTTTCAATGTCTTAGCACGAGAGGAGCTTTAATTATGTTCGAAGTTAACAAGAGTCGAACATTTTTGCGACATTTTCTAATCTAATTTATTAATGTTGGACTTTGTTGGAGGCGAGAAAATTATGGAATAGAAGAGTGTTGAATTAATTAGCACGAATTGTAGTTGCTGGGTGAGGAAGTGACGGAGAATTTTGATGTGGAGATGGAGGTTTTGGAGGTTAAGGTGCGTTTTTGAGGTTAAATGAGATTTTTAATTAAGTTATTTTTGAGAAATTTGAGGAATGGTTGACTATTTTTTTTAATTTTTTGAGGTTAGATTATCAATATTATCAACATTTTGAGGTTAAGTTGTCAAAATCATTCACGATTTGAGGTTATGTTGTCAAAATCATCCAAATTTTAAGGTTAAGTTGTCAAAATCATTCAAAATTTGAGGCTAAGTTGTCAAAATTATCCAAATTTTGAGGTTAAGTTGTCAAAATTATCCAAATTTTGAGGTCATGTTGTCAAAATCTTCCAAATTTTGAGGTGTAGTTGTCAAAATCATCCAAATTTGAAGTTAAGTTTTCAAAATCATTCACGATTTGAGGTTATGTTGTCAAAATCATCCAAATTTTTAGGTTAAGTTGTCAAAATCATTCAAAATTTGATGCTAAGTTGTCAAAATTATCCAAATTTTTAGGTTAAGTTTTCAAAATCATTTACGATTTGAGGTTATGTTGTCAAAATCTTCCAAATTTTGAGGTTAAGTTGTCAAAATCATTCAAAATTTGAGGTTATGTTCTCAAAGTCATCCAAATTTTGAGGTTAAGTTGTAAAAATTATCCAAATTTTATGGTTAAGGTTTTAATATCATCCAAATTTTGAGGTTAAATTGTCAAAATCATCCAAATTTTGAGGTTAAATCATCAATATTCTCTAAATTTTAAGGATTATTTGGAATTGAAATACTAGCCATGTACCCAGCTTTATCCGGTTTCCAAAAATAGCTGTTAAAATGGACTTTAAATTCGAATAATTCTAGCAAAAGCTTACAATTCGCAAGAAACTTAACAATACTGACTTCTAGATGGCGCTAGAGGAGGTTAGAGGCTGTGGTGAAAATTTGATTCACACAAACTTACATTGTCATATCCAATTCATTGGAATTCAAAATTTAAATTAAAACATGAAAATCCTTTTTTTACCACACTAGATTAATTATTTATTTGTTTTATCAATAATTCAATACATAAAGCACTTTAAATGTCTGTCTCAAAACTGCTATAACTGTATTTTCTCATGGCAACCTCATCCCTCAACCTCGTTGTTCCAATAAGGATTGGCAAATTAAGCAAAACACTTCTATGAATTCCACTGAATTTAGCTTTCACACAAAGCTCGTAGGCAACTTTAATAACTTCACAGTTATCAATATTCGGTTCCACAGCTGGCACTCGGATGTTTTTTGTGAAAATTCGGTGTGCTTGAGGTTTAACTTTATCACAATATTCGAGGGATTCAACAATTTTTATTCTGACGACTTCAACGAGTGGTTTTTGGCTGAAATGAATCAAATTTAAGCTTAAATTCCAATTTTTAAAATAAGTTTACCTTGTCAGCACGATAATTTTATTCAGGGACACTCGAATGCTCTTTACCTTCGTCCTAGTCAAATTGTGAACATTTATAGTCACAAATATTTTATCACCAGGTGCATATCCCCTTCTAGGTATTGATGCAGACATATAAAGCTCCTTCGTTGAGAAATCAAGTGTAAAATTCTTAAAAGCTTCATGAATCAGCGGAACATTGATGACTTGTGATAACTCATTGAGATCCGTTGGCGATAAAATTGTAAATGGACTCTCAAATTTCATATTTGGCTTCCAATTGCTGTCAACATGAACTTCAACTTTATACTTTATTGATCCAGTTGCTTTCCTATAGTATCCATTGATAGATTCCATCGAGCTAGGGATGTACAATGGAATTTGGAAGTTTGCTTCGAATGTATTCAGACCGGCTTGAATTTCGGTTAAATTTAAGAGCGAAATTTTCTTGTCGATGTATGTGACGCAACCGGTGAGGGTCTTCTCATCGTTTCGAGAGAGAAAATGACAGCAGGCTTGTCCGAAGATTTTAAGGTAGATTTCTGGAATGGAGGTTTTGTTTAAAACAGTGGTGGTCAACCTTATTTGTGCAATGGCACAGTTTGGTGGTGACTCATTACAAAAACTGCACATGGCTTATGGTTCGTGGGGTTTCTCGATTTTTTTCGCAAACAGCTTTTGTACCGCAGCACATGGGTTAGCAATTACTGTTTTAAAATTATGAATTTGAGTCTGATAAACCTAGAGCAGATTGCTAGAAGCTTGCGACTGGTTACGAATCTCAGATCAAGAATTGATTATATTTTGACATATGCTGTGACTAAGTTTAATGTCTAAGTAAGCTATTCAGCCATTTTAAGTGCCGAAGACTCAACAATAGACTTAAAGGAGCCTTACGAACAACTCTCGAGATATTGGATGTCTCAACTTAATCAGATACTTAAATCAAATCCATTCCCAATACCCACCAAAACAGAAAACAGCACAATACTCACCATCAACATGATAACCTTCAGTCACATTAAGTTCCACTATAATTTCCACTGTCTCACCAGGTGAATAAAGTTTTAGAGGATTTCCAATAAAATTTATTGTGCATTGCATTTCTGCCTCGTCGTTTAGTTCAATTCGCAAATGGTTTGTGTACGTTTTTTTTGCTGTTGATAAGAATTATTTTTTTATAATTCCTGATAAATTTTTATGCGTTTGTACACAGCAACTTTGATACTGTAAAAATAGAAATTGTCATGAAGAATTACTTTTTATTGTGGATTATGTCAGAATGTGGTTGGGAGTTAAATGGGTCAAATGGAAAATTCTTATAGATTTAATGACCTTTAGTGCCTTACAGGGGCGTGGCCAGGAATTTGAAGAGGGGACAAATTTTTTTTTTGTATGGAAAACTTTTAGGGAGGGGGGGGGGGGGGGGGGTAATTTCTTCGAGTTTTTCATACAAACTCTAGCAAAATGATGAGTTTTCTCAAGACGAAGGGGGATTTGTCCCCCTGGCTACGCGCTTGCTGCCTTACTTTATCAAATTAAAGACAAATTTGTCTGAGATAATCAACATTTATGATCATAAAACTAGTTTTTAACACAATTTTTGCTATTAAAGACTCATTTTCGGATAAAATCATGAACTAACCCCATCTAGGGGTTCAATCGGTTCCAAAATGTTCAACATCTTCATGAAAAGTTGGTTCTACACTTAAGAGACTGATTTTTAAAGCCACAATGATTAACCTACTTAAAATCAAAAATGACAAACTGGATAATGAACAGTAACCAAAGTTTGACCAAATCAAGAGCCCTAAAAACCAATCCTAGCAACAAGACCCCCAACCAGTCTCAGTCTGACCCAGAATCATTAAAGATGATGTCAAGTACACAATAGATGTCGAATGCTTGCAATTATTTAAAATTATGTCTTACAATTAACTCAATTTGGTCCACACACTGCACATTTAAAAGTGACACTGTCAATATTTTCAATTTTTATCGCCAATTCTTATCAATTATTGATAGGAACTAAATAAAAAGAAGCAAATGTTGATAAAATGTGAGTTTATCGGACTTGATAATATGAAAAAAATATTCTTGTTAATTACAATTTGAATTCTTTTATGCTGGTTATTGTGTCAATTAGCACTTGAGGATTGTCTCCTCTTCCTTTGTGCTTTTATGATCTTGAAGATTCCACAACAAAAAACTATTCGACCAACCTCAGACCACCTCAAAATTCAGAAAGCGACTAATTTCATGTTATCAATAATATTTATGTTTGTTTTGGGTTGGGCATCTAATCGAGTTTTTGTCAGCCTTATCTTAACGGTGAAAAATTGATTGAAATTAAGGAATTAAGACCACAAAATTCTTGTTGATAAAAAAAAATGCAAAAAATGTTGATAAACTGAAAGGGCGTCAGGGAAGTTGGAAGGGGATGAAATTGTTGTGTGGTTACATTATAGAGTAGCAGGCACGTAGCCAGGAGGGTCTTGTCCCCCCTTAAACGTTTTAAACCGCATCAAAATCAAGGCATAAAACACTTAAGAGGGGGACAAGACGCTCCTGGCTACGCTCCCGTAGAGTAGGTTAGGTTCTGATGGGGTTTATTAAAGTAGAATGTGTAGGGAATTCAATGACGCAGCCTCTAGACAAAGTCATGATGATGGGTTCCTATTGCTCCACTATGAAGCGTAGGGCGTCCACAAAGCATTTGAATCGCACTCGATTCTGGGCCAAAGCTGCTATTTCCTGCAGCTTCTTGTTCTGTTGTTCCGCCTCCCGTTCAACAGTTGTAGACAAAGTCATAGTCACACCTAAATCAAAGTTCTATTCTTGTCGTGAGTAAAGACCTGAATTGGCTATGTTATGTCCTCAATATCCTCCATATATTTCCAGCAAATGAGTCTGAAAGCTTCTATTTATGTTGTATAGACTAAAACACTAAAGATTTCAGAGATTGACCAATCAGAATTTTTTTTGAACCTCCCTATACCTGACCTTGACCATACCATTAGTCAAAACAAAAACCATCTGATACTTCACTGAGTCACTCAAATAAACTCCATAAATCCTCATTTTTATTTATTTTAAGATTTATTCCATTTATGTAAACTTTTCCAGCAATTACTCACATTTAAACATATTTTCTCAGTAAATCCAGAACAAATTATTGCCACAATAAAAAAACTTTTAATCACATTATCAACAAATGTCGTGCGTGTTTTTCATCAGAAGGCAAAAGCAGCTGACGAGATTCTCAAAAAAGTTTATCTCACGTAAATTTTTGCGCTGTTATCTAAAATCTTGGAAAATTTTTGTTTTGTCTGTTGATAACTTGATAAGGCATAGTTTGATGAACTGTTGGATAACTTGAGTATTTAAGATGATGGAAGATTGCCAAGATTAACAGTCTAGATTTGAGTGAACATCCACAAAGATCATTAAAAATCATCAAATCAAATCAAATCAAATAAATAATCAAAACTTACTTCAACATTTCAAAATCATATCCTAAGATGAAGTTTACATTGGCATTCATGCTGCTTGCATCTTTCTGTGCTTTGGCATGGTCTCGATCAGTTAGTGTAGAAGAAGACTCAATTGAGAGTTTAGATAACAATTCAAAATCACTTGAAATTGAGCTTCATGGATTGGGTCGTCTGCGTTCAAGAAGACATTTAAGGAAGAACTCATTAGAGGAAGACGAAAGTAAGGAAAAGAAGCAATCAAAGGAGTCAAAGGAATATAAAGAGTCAAAAGAATCTAAAGAGTCGAAGGAATCAAAGGAATCTAAACCAAAGAAGACGACTACAACCAAAGCTCCAAAACCTACAAAAACGACCAAACCTCCCAAAACCACAACAACTACAACAACTGAAGTACCAACAACGACTACTCCTGAGGAACAACCCACAACAACTGAAGGTTCCGTCACTGAAGACCAACCAACAACAACTGAAGGATCTGTAACTGAGGAACAGCCCGCAACAACTGATGGGTCCGTCACTGAACAAGAACCCACAACAACTGAAGTATCTGTAACTGAGGAACAATCCACAACAACTGAAGGATCCATCACTGAGGAACAACCCACAACAACTGAAGGTTCCGTAACTGAAGAACAGCCCACAACAACTGAAGGTTCCGTCACTGAACAAGAACCCACAACAACTGAAGGATCTGTAACTGAGGAACAATCCACAACAACTGAAGGATCCGTCACTGAAGAACAGACCACAACAGCTGAAGGTTCCGTAACTGAGGAACAGCCCACAACAACTGAAGGTTCCGTAACTGAGGAACAGCCCACAACAACTGAAGGTTCCGTCACTGAAGAACAGCCCACAACAACTGAAGGATCTGTAACTGAAGAACAGTCCACAACAACTGAAGGTTCCGTCACTGAAGAACAGCCCACAACAACTGAAGGATCCGTCACTGAAGAACAGCCCACTACAACTGAAGGATCCGTAACTGAAGAACAGCCCACAACAACTGAAGGTTCCCTCACTGAACAAGAACCCACAACAACTGAAGGATCTGTAACTGAAGAACAGTCCACAACAACTGAAGGTTCCGTCACTGAAGAACAGCCCACAACAACTGAAGGATCCGTCACTGAAGAACAGCCCACTACAACTGAAGGATCCGTAAGTGAAGAACAACCCACAACAACTGAGCAACAAACAACAACAATTGCTGATCAGCTTCCAGAAGATCTATGCAAAGGAGTCATCTTCAATCAGATTCCTAATCCAAATAACTGCTTCGAATACATTCAGTGCGTTGTTGGAAAACAAAAGGTTTTGAGCTGTCCACAGAAGTACATTTACAACACACAATTGAAGACGTGCTTGCCGGGCAATCAAGTTTCTTGTAAATTTTGTATATTTTGTTGAGTTTTTGGGATGTGAGGAGGTATTGGGGTGCATGATGAGGTGAGTCCACAGTGTCTTTGAACCTGTGTATCCTAATAAACCCGACCGAAACACCAAAGCTTACCAGAAACCTGTAAAAAATGTTTTCAACCCCCGAAACTTTCAAAACGAACCACCCAAAAATAATCAACTTATATTAAAAAAATAAAGATGAAAATAAAAGAAAATGTTGCAACATCAAAAATCCAAAAACTATTTTAATTTTTTTTAAATATTTAATTTTTTTCAATTTTTATTTTTATGGTTCTTCGATTTTTTCTTCATTTTTCACGTATAAATAGACATTTTTTTGTTCACATTTTATCGCTGGGATTTTTTTTCAAAAAAAAATTTATACAAAATTTTCTCATTTCATTTCATGGCTAACAAATTTTTTTATCATTTTATTTTCATCTTTAGCTTCCTTACATTCAAATTGGAAGGTAGCACTAGTGATATTTGGCTAGAAATTCTTACAAGGTCTCGAATTGTTGATTAACTCGAATTATAGTTTCACCTCGTTCCACGTTTTTTTTATTTCGTTACTTACAATCATTTTTTGTGTTAAGGCTGAAAATTCTTTGAAATTTTTGAGGTTATGTTCCAAAAAAGTCAGAATTTTAATGAATTTTTTCAGGTTATGTTTCAAAAAAGTCGGAGTTTTAATGAAATTTTTGAGGTTATGTTTCAAAAAAGTCAGAGTTTTCATGAATTTTTTAAGGTTGTGTTTCAAAAAAGTCGGAATTTTCATGAATTTTTTGAGGTTATGTTTCAAAAAAGTCAAAATTTTCATGAATTTTTTAAGGTTGTGTTTCAAAAAAGTCAAAATTTCAATAAATTTTTTCAGGTTATGTTTCAAAATTTCAATAGAATTTCCATCCTCAACTTCGATCCAATAGAAAATAGTCAAGAACTTTTCCAATACAAAACAGTTTCAATCGTTTCAAATACAAAATATTTCCACCTAATCCAAATTTTTTGTTTCTATCTCAAAATAGCTTTTTTTTCTGATAAATTTTCCCATGGAAAATAAAATAAAAGAATTTTTTTTTAAATTTTTTCATTTAATATAATAAATTTTTTATTCATTTTTTGTATAAGCTCGATAAACGTGTGGATTTTCTGTGTAAATTTTTTCACATTTTTTTTTTCAACTTAATTTACAGAATTTTCCTTCACTTTATTTATATTTATTATATTTATAATATTTTCACAATTATATGTTTACGCTAAATGGATTTTTACTGATTTTTTATCTTTTCTTATTTTTTTTTTAACTTTTTGGACTTCCATGCGGGAATTTTTTCACTTTTTTTAACTTCTTTCCTACGCTGATTTATGGAAATCTTTCCTTACATTTATAGATTTTTTCTTTACTGGATTGGAAATTTTTAAATTATTTTGAAAAAGAAATTTTTTATTTCATTATTTTTGAATTTTTTTTAAAATTCTTTAAAATTTCAAAAATTGAAAAAAAAATTGCAAAAATTTATGAAATTTAAAAAATTTCACTTTCAAAACACTTTAAAAATTTCATTTAAATTTACATACAAAAATTAATGTTTTTGAGATCTTTTTCGACTCTCATGAATTTTTCTTTAATTAAATTAAATTTTTCTTCATTTATGATGATCAATGCAATGTGATATTTTGTTGCTAAACGTTCCAGTCCTTCATTTTACACAAAATTTTCCTTATTTTTTTTTTCATCGCTAAGTTTTTTTTTCTTATATAAATTTGGCAAATGTTTCATATTCTCATTTGAATACTTTTTTAACTTTTTTTTAAGTTTTTTCAATTATTGAGTTGAGTTTTTTTTGGCCACTAAAGTTTTCCTGATTTTTATGATAGTTTTTTTAATTTGCCACGTGGATTTTGACTTCGTGATTTTTAATTGGCAACTCTCAAAATTCTTAAAAATCTTTTTCACATTTTTCTTATTTACAATTTTTTTTTTCATAAAAATCTCGTCAATTTTTTTCTCAATTACAGTTCTTTATTGGCGTTTTTTGTGATTTTATTTACTTTTTTTACTTAAAATTATAAACTTAAACTATAATAATAATAAACATTTCTGATTTTTTTTATATTTGACACTATTTACAGGTTTTTCAATATGGTGTGTTTTTGAGAAAGTTAAATTTTTTTGGATTTTTAAAGTTTTTCATTCCAATTTTTTGTTTTTTTAATTTTTTGAAAACTTTAAAGTCAAATTGTTAAAAACATATTCATAATGTTCAAAAAATTCAAAAGTTTCAATTCTTATAAAAAGCTTAAGAATTCCAAACAAATTCAACATTTCTCAAATATTTTAAATTTCACTTTAAGTTCTTAATATTCACATTTTGTCAGTCCATTTTTTAAAGACCTGAACTATTTTTTTTTATAAATTTTCATTTCAATTTTAAATAAAATTTTCTTTCATCTCAGAAGTTTAAACTTCCTTTACTAAAGCATGAATTTTAATAAAGCATAAATTTTCGTTTTTTTAAACGCTTGTTTTTGAAAAATTAAAACAAAAAATATTGCCAGAAAAAAATTATAAAATGAATAAAAAGTATTTTTTTAAAAACTTTTTATTCATTGGAAGCCAATAATTTTTTTAAAAAAGAAGTTCTTAAAAAATAAAGAAATTTAAAAAATTAAAAATAGCAGGAAAAATTTCTAAAATATAAAAAAAATCTTCAAATTAAGAATTAATGGAAGAATTAATTAACTAAAATTTTGTATTTATCACTTTCAATTTAAATATTAAGAAAATTGGGTATTTTTTTGTCAAATTGTAGTTTTTTTTGTGGTAGTTTTTCAGTTGAATTTGGCACAGCAGGAGAAAAAATTGTCTCAGTTCTGTGACTTCCTGATTTTTGGGTCCAAGATATATAAAATTATAATTTTGATCATTTAACAATTTTGAAAAAATCTTTAAATTTGCTTTTGGCACAACAAATTCTGTTCTTAATTACAGAAATAAATTCAATGAAATTTCAGTTTTGTGGCCTAAACTTTTAGTCTTGTTACGGTAAATTTAACATTTTTTTTGTCACATTTTCAGACATCATGTCACAATTTTCAGTTTTTTTTTGTTATCCTACTATTTTTCTGGCACTGCGAATTTGAGTTATTAATACTAAATTTAATAAATTCTAGTCTATTGTATAACACAGTGAATGATTTTATTGCTAGTGACTTAACTGAGGAATTCCCTTTTTAATTTTCTGATCCCAAAACTCAACACTTTGCGTCAATTATCTTAGTAACACCTGACATTCTAGGATAAAGGTTAACTGACGCTCAGCTTGACTGACGCTCAGACAAACTGATTCTCAGCTTGACTCACGCTCAGCCATACTAAAGCTCAGCCAATCTAACGATCAGCCAGACTGAAGCTTAGCCAGACTAAAGCTCAGCTCGACTCACGCTCAGCTACACTGAAGCTCAGCTTGACTGACGCTCAGCCATACTAAAACTCAGCCTAGCTGACAATCAGCCAAACTAAAGCTCAGCAAGACTGAGGCTCAGTCTGACTACAGCTTAGCCAGACTAAAGCTCAGCTCGACTCACGCTCAGCTACACTGAAGCTCAGCAAGACTGACGCTTAACCAGACTGAAGCTCAGCTTGACTCATGATCAGCCAGACGTACGATCATCCACACTGAAGCTTAGCTTTACTGAAAACTAATCCCTCAGTTAAGTCAACTGAAGTCAGAAGTTCTCTTGAAATCATGAAGCTACACAAAACTAGTAGATCCAAGACACCCAAACAACACTCTTAGATCTTAATCTGACTTCAAAGCATATCATTAACACCAAGAGAACTCCAACTTCATCTCCCCATAATAAAATCCTTCACTACGTCACACTAATAGCATTTCCATCATCCCTATGATGTGGACCGCCATTTTGTGTTGCTCCATCCTTTCCCCCAACAGCTGCATTTTGTTGTACAGCAGCCGCAGCTGCAAGTTGAAAATTAGCAAAGCTAGCTGCATGAAATTGAGCTAAATGGTGAGGATGTGCGAGTGGATGTGTCATGAGTGGCTTCTGAAATGGATGCGTATAGTAACCGCCAGTCGGGTGCGGTTGAAAGTCTCGTTTTGTGAGTTGATTGACACTTAATGGATTATTAACGTCGCGTGGATTAGCACCGACAGGATTGCGAATGATTGGAAGTTTATCATACAGGAATGGATCAAGTCTCTGTTGTTGTTGCTGCTGCTGATGTAAATGCTGATGAAGTTGTTGATTCAATTGCTGATTCAGCTGCTGATTGAGGTGATGTTGTAGACTATTTGACTGATCCATTGGTTCTGTTTTTATTTGCACATCATTATTTTTATGCATATGATCCCGCTTGAGATCATCATGGCTCATCATACCATTCGTCTTAGGCTTACTAACCGTCGAGTCCCATTTATTTCTCGACAACTGATTAACCAGTGATGCAACAAGTCCATTCTCCTCATGATGATGCATACCATGCGGCGTTGATGGTGATGCAAGGAGATTTATTGGTGAGGCGAGTGATGTTGATGGCGATTGAAGACTAGAGAGACCACTAAGTCCACCAGGTGAGGACATTGATTGGTTTAATGATTCGGTATCGTCGTCGGGTGTTTGAGCCTCGTCGACAGATCCACACGAGCCGAGATTATCATCTGATCCGTGATTATCACCATCGCCACGTTGCTGGTCTTCTGCTGACTCTTTGTATCGTATGCACTTCTTCTTTCGTCTAAAATGTTAAATTAAATTTTAAATTAGTTGATGGTTATTATTCAGATTTTTATAGATTTTTTAAGGTTAAGACAGTTAAGGTTGAATATATAAAAAAATCTTGCTTTGTAAAGTTTTTGATTATAAAGCACAATAAACATCAAATTTGTTTAAAATATGAAATTTATCAAGTTTTAATTGTGAAGTCTTGAATTGGATAAAAAAAAGGTTATTTGTCTAGGTACTTTAGCAAGTGAAGCCGGGGAAGG